ACTATAATTAATGATATGATATTCTAACTTCCTTGTTCTTCATTGATTAGGTGATGACATGAAGCGAAAGCACGCATTAGATAGTCAAATCTCTATCGCAAGAGGCGTCTGCACGGGTAGAGAGTGCCCTTAGAGGAAGGGATAGGGCATCACAGTAGATGATGCATAGATGCATCTTATTGAGGAGATTGTATGTGTGGACATCTATAAGGAGCTACCTAACCATTAATTTTCTTGCGTGCATCTTTGTTTGATGGTTTCTTCCATTAATAGAGTAGTACACGAGTAGAGGGAAACTCAACTCACCAAGGTTTACTTTCTTGCATTGCATATATCGAATTCAATTGGTTAGGTTTGAGTAATTACTAGTGAAAAAACCTGTGGAATAAGACCCTAGACACCTCTAGGAATTTATCTCTTGACTACTACATCACTCAAGTTCATTTATCACCCGTCTTTTCTTTCCACCTTTGACATCCCCACACACCATTACTTGGGTGGAACTTTCTGGTTCCTTCACTGCCGCATACATATTGCCAATTTTCAGGTGCCCTCCTTCTACAAATTGTTCAAACGTGGCATTTGCTTTAATGTACATCTTGTGCCTACAGGTGGGAATCAACAGCGGACAGAGGCATTTCAGCTGGTCAATAATTGAAATCTGACACATAAGCAAACAAACAAAACATGGGAAAAGTTAATAAACATCATTAAAGTATACCATTAGCCATATAAATAACACCAGAAACTGGAATTGCACGCAAAAAAAATGCTAAAGCACCCTACAGTAGAGGGAAAGGAAACCAAACCACAAATATATTAAAGAAAACCAAAACAAGACAAAGCAAACCTCAATGTACTCTAAAGCACTCCAAAAGAACCACAAAAAGGACGACACAATGATGACACTTCCCATTCTTGATACATCTTCCCCTTCTATCAAAGCATCTTTAGTAATTTCACCAATATTACCTATCTAAATCACAATTATTTGAACAATGAGCCTTTAATAGACATGGATTATGCTTTTGTACTCTTTAATGCTTTCTAGGTATGTTTTTATGGTTTTGAATGTAGAAAGTAACCTGAGGAGGATTGGATCAAGCATTAGAGAACTCTAGAGGACCAAAGGAGCTATAAAGAGACGAATATGGAGTTTTGTGGGAAAGTTGAGATCCAATGATGGAGAAGTAAACTAGAAGTCGCTTAATAATCTCAAGACGATCCCATATGAAGAAGACTCAACCCAAGATGATGAAGAAACCTATGGCGGCCCAGAATCTTGTCCAACCGCCGCTAAAGGAGGCTTGTTCAAGAGGCTTCCAAACTGCAAGGAAAGGTAATCCAAGGTCCAAGAGCCCATCCCACAAAGAAAAAGAGAGGTGGTTTCAACCGCTGCAAAACCCTAACCTTGTTGGGGAAGTTTACTTAGTCCACTAGGTTTAGGAGACCCTTTCCTAGTTGGTTTAAGAGATTTTAGTCGGGTTCTTCCCTTATAAATAGAGGCCATGACTCATTAGCTTAGGAAGACTGCAAAAATATCCAATAATAGCTAGTTAAATTTACATAGCAAGATGCGCATGCACGGATAGATAATGGCTCTAGTGGAAGGGATATAGTGATTCTATAGATAAATCATCGATGATATTGTGATTGAGCCCCAGTATTCTTTTATGCATCTATAAATCGAAAACACCTAAACAACTTTACTATTCTTGGTTGCTTGTTTGGTAAGAGAAAACCCTAAATGCTTCTATGATTTTCGTGTGAGGCTTGATGGTTCGGTGTGTAAAGTTATGCATTAGAAAACCTCGTGGAATACAACCCTAAACATCCCCTAGGGCTTTTAAGACTTCGATCTATACTGTACATCAAGTTTTTGGCACCATTACCGGAGATTTCTAATCATATATAAAAGCACTTAACCATCGTGTGTCTTTCTTTAGTTTTAAGTTTCTTTAGTTTTGCATAATTTCGCATGAGTCCAGTAAGTACTAGAAGGAAAACCAAAAACCTAAAGATCATGCAATAGATAGTTCAAGAAGGAGGAGCATCAAGTTCATCCATATTGAAGACCAAGGAATGAACATCTAGCTCAGGAGAAGAAGATCCCTCAAGCCCCACCAATATCGAGCAAAGCTTGGGAAAGGAGGACAAGATCGATGAAGACAACTTTGATTCGGAGGAAGAAGGAGCCTCTTCAATTTCTTCAACACCAATGATGGGTGGAGAAGGACAAAGAAAAGTGGTTGTTGCAGCTACTCTCTATGAGTATTCAAGGCCAAAAGCATCCAACATGACCTTCAGAGTTGTTGTGCCAACAACGACCATAGAAATAAGAACTCAACTTATCTAGATGGTGCAACAAACATGAAGATTTTGAGAAAGGAATGATGATGACCCAGTGCAACACTTGAAGACATTCTTAGAGATTGTCAATTCCATACTAGGAGGTGATGCTACCAATGATGGAATTCGGCTACGACTTTTCCCGTTCTCTCGTGGAGGAGGAGCAAAGCAATGGCTCGACTACCATCCACCAGAAAACTTCACCACATGGGAGACCCTTGCACAAGCATTCATCGAGGAGTACTTTCCACCATGGAAGATGGAGGAGCTCAAAGATGAGATTACTATATTTCAACATAATGAAGGAGTGACTTTTTACGATGCTTGGAGGAGATTTTAGGAGTATTGGTCGAACCCTCGTGCGGGTCATGTCAATTGTTTGCACAACCTAACTAACTACCCCATTTCAAGCCAAGTATAACCCGAAATGGCGTTGCTAATATAGTGGCAACCAAGGTCGTATTTCACGGGTTTTGATACGTTAGGTTACTTCTCATGTTGTTGATATATAGTCGATTAGTTTAGTTTGGTTTTTGGAGGTCGATTGAAAATACTGGTGGAGAAAGCAATGATACTAAGCAGGTACTTCGAGGTAATTCCCTCTCTCTAAATTTAGGTTTGTCACGCAAATGGTTGATTATGTTGAGTTTGCAGGATAAGGTAAAGAACTCAGTCAACTGAGGGTTTCAATGATTACTTCCCTCCTCCTAGTACACTCCTAGAGAACCATTGTCACCTCAGTCAAAGCTCACGTACTAAGGAATGACCACTAGTTCTTCTCAATAGGTTCAACCTATCATGCACACTACAGCGATGGATCAATGACGCTTGCATCATCTCTAACATTGTCTCAGGAAGGTAGTCCTCTATTAGGGGTACGGTCACCTCGTCCACTAAAAGGAACACTAAGATCATTCATCTACCTTTAATTAGCCTTAAGGCGCTCAAATCCATTCTAACCATAAAACTCCCACCTAGTTCTCAAACTCAGTTGTAGGATAGTATAAAAGAGTTGGAGAGACAAGCCCCAACATAATTAAGCATAAATGAAGCATATAATCACTGAAATAAACAAATCTATACACAAAGCCTAACACAATCACATCTACATTCAAAACCTAATTCTAGGGTTTGGGGATTTAACCCCTATTGCATTAGAGGCAATTCTAAAAAACCCCTAGTACATTATAGGCAATTCTCAAAATTGATTATCAGCGAGCGACATGCAACTACACGAGATGAGCGAAGAGTAACTCTGAAAGCGCGAAAGATAATGACGGCGATGACTAAGGTCGTGAATTACGACAAGTCGACAACTACGGAGAGCATATCGAGCAAAGGAAATCAAGATGAGAGAGAAAGTTGAAAACGACGACGATGACTAAGTTCGTTAATTTCAAATTTGTTGTAATTTACTAAACTGTCCATAATGAATGATGTTGATACAATCAGTGTCGTTAAGATCAAATCTAATTGGCCAGTCGACCAGCAAAACTGATACTTCAGTTCCACTCGTATCAAAGAAAGGGTCAATAGAATTGGGCCAACCCACGAGCAACCGAAATGATTAACCGCTCGAACCGTCGGCCCAATTCTCAATTTGTAGCTCAACCTAGAGTAATGCACAATCAACTCGACTCATTTGTAGCTCTAATCCTCAGAGCAACAAACTACTCCAAAGCATGACATCCATCGCCCAATTTACTACATCCTCACAGCAACAAACATGTCCCATATCCGTCTCCAACATGCCAAATTCCTTGTTGCACAATGGCTTACAACAACCTCGCAATGTTGAAAATCAATGGGGGACAAAAAACCAATCTAGCAACCTCATTAAGTTTAACATCATTGACAGCACAACAAAATCAGGGAAAAAAACAGCGAGGCAACAAAAAACAGGAAAAATCACCCTGGCAACCGACTATGGATGGTTTGATATCATTAGTGAGGCAACAAGAAAAAAGAATCAACGACTGTACAAGAATTTCAACCTAATCGAACATGCTACTAAGGGTTACCATAATAAACAACATTCACTTTCAACATTCACTTTAATTCCTGATGCAAAAACTAGGAACAAAGAGAGCAAGAGTAAAAAAAAGATAAAAACCTTTCCAATCTCCGATCTTACATATCCAACTCCAACATCGAAATGTACAATACATTGCAACCAAGTATTCAGCAACCTGAGTTGCACATCATTAACAGGTCACAGCAAGCAGAAAATTTGTCGCAAAAAGCAATGGAAAGAATTCAACCAAACTAGTCACCTAAGCATAAACCCTCAAATAATAAAAGGTTCGGATAAGAGGAAATCATGGGCAGCTTTTCAATCTACATTGCTCAGTTGGTTAAATAAAAATGAACCCAATTCAATCGCAGTCTGAAGTCATCAACTTAGCCCATCATCGAACATCCAGAATCACAAACCAGCAACACCAAAATTGTCACTGTAAGCAGATTTGTAACACAGATCTGGCTTTGCATGAACATAAAACCTCATTCATAACAAAATCATCAAAACATTGGTCGCTGAGTGATAAAAACATTTATAATAAGAAAAGGAAATAGTTCGATTCTCCCAACAGTTTCAACGTTGTATAGATGAGAAAATTGAAAAAAGCCCTAAAGAAAGAAGACCTCTAGTTCTAGGCAGTGAGGACGACAGCTCCGCCGGCTTCCTTAATCTTCTTCTCAGCTGTCTTGGACACGAGCTTAGCCTTCACAACGATGGGCTGATTTTCAGGCAAAACCCCCTTCCCAAGGACCTTGAAGTAGCCAAACTGAGTGACATCAATCATCGGAGCGCCATCCTTTCCTGCCTTATCCTTCACCTCCTGGGGAATCATGGACCAGAGCTTGTCGATGTTGACGATGGGGCAATGGAACCTGTTCTTGAGCTTGTGGAAATACCTCATACCGACTTTCCCGAAGTAACCGGGATGATACTTGTCGAAGAGGATCCTGTGGTGGTGCATACCTCCGGCGTTACCACGACCACCGGGATGCTTCCTGTGTTTCCCGATACGGCCGTGACCGGCACTGACGTGGCCTCTCTTCTTGCGGTTCTTCTTGAAGCGGGTCGTCATCTCGGCAAGCGAGAGTGGGTTGTGCGAAAGGGGTATTGTGAAGGCGGCAGCTGCGAAGAGAGCTAGTCCTAGGGTTTCAGAGTTACAGTATTTATATATGATGGAAGGAGGACAGGAAGCCTTGGGGTGGGTTTCGGTTTATTAGGGTTTGAGGGCTTCTGCTAAGTGCTAAATCGGAGGTGGGGTGAGAATTGGGCTGAAAAGTTTTGTCAGCTGGCCTTGAGTAAGAAATTCTTTTTGTGTATCCGCTTTGCATTGGGCCTTTAGTTTTTTTTTTTTTTCGTTGAATAACCTTTAGTTTTATGAAAGCCCATGAACAAGAAAATAACGGGTACATTCGAAACTTGGGTGTCAGCTTCTAAACTACGGTATGTTTTTTTTAAGTAATGACTATTTATTAGTCAAATTTATTCTTTTTTATTAGTTAAAGTGAAGGATTTTTTTTATTGCATGTGCTCGACAGTCAACTTCTTCCTGAAACAGGAATTGTACGGTAACTAAGGCTTCTATTGAATTACAAATAATTAATCAAATGTTAACTTTCAGTTAGTAATTTTTGTTAGTAATATTGACTTGTCAACATGATACTAATTTGAAAAAGATACATAGAAGTTAACATTCCAAAATTTTAGTATTTTAACTTTTAGAAAAGTTATAAAATTATTAAGGGCAATGTCTATTTTTTACCCAAACCTTTTTCAGATTCTTTTATTTTAACCAAACCTATTGAATTCCTAAAAATTATCCAAACGTTAACTCTCCGTCAACTTTTCTGTTAGTAATGCTGACTAAGTATGACCATAATGAGTTGACTTCCTACGTGGCGGTCAGAATACCATCATTTACTATTTTTAATAAAAAGATTATCAAAAAACAAAACAAAATCTCACCTCTCACGTGGACGAAATAAGTAACGGTAACAGAATGAATGCCCAGACTTTGATAAATTATAATACGTTTGGATAATAAATAGAATTTCTATAGGTTTGGTTAAAATAAAAGAATCTGAAAAAGGTTTGGGTAAAAAATAGACATTGCCCAATTATTAACGATAACGTAAAATTGGCTAATATTTTGATACATTACAAAACTTTTGGCTGATTTTTAGTATTTTGATAAATTTGGTGACTCGCCCCGAATACCACAATAAACATCTCAATCAATGCCCAAGTATAAACCTTAATTGGGTGCAATATAGGGCAAGTATGTTTTAAAAGTCAAACCCGGGTCGGCCATGTACCACAACTTTGATTATTTGAAAAGTTATCTAGCAATTTGTTTTTGGTTGAAGCTACGATTTACACTAAAGCGATTGGAAAAGTAAAGTGTAAGAACACTAGTTGAGAAGGCTTCGCCCGGGTATTGTTCCCCCTAGCTAGTTATAAAGGTGAGTTAAACCGAATGAAAGTGCATGCTGAAGGTGGTTGCTAACCGTAGGGAAGCGCAACAAGTGAATTGGGTTCACTCTCTTGTTTTGATCAATTGGCTAAGGGGCTACAAGCAAAACTACCTAGGTGACTCTCTTAGCCAAATCGGCCAAGAGACACAAGTAAAGCTACCTAGGTAACTCTCCTAATCGTCTAAGGGTTGCCAAGGCTTCACCCTCGAATCAAAATTCGGACGGCTAAATCGCAACCAACACAAGGTTCTTAAACATAGTAAGAGGTGTGCCCTAATTTTCCCTAGGTAGGTGACTCAATTAGGCCAAGGAACCTCAACTTTTGAAAGCCTTTTCATAAGAAGGAAGTTTCCCTCTACCTAGGTCAAATTGGCAAAGTAGTTGAAAATGGAAAACACAACACAACATCCAAACACCACCATACACAAATCATTCAATTCATACACACTTTCACATGTTTCTAGCTAGGGTTCACAAACACCCAAGTTAAATAAAGGACTACTCCATGCTAGGTAGAAGGAATACACAAAGGAGAGAAGAGAAAACCATCTTGGAGATGAATGCTTTCTTCCTTTTGTGTGGGGATCAACCTTGAAGGTGGAAATTCCCAAAACCTTGAGCTTGGATGAAACCCTAGCATCCTTCCTCTTCATTGCTCGTCACTTTCTGTCTCTAGAACTCATGAAGAAGAAGAAGAAGTTATCTCACTAGGATCTCCCTTTCTTCCTTCAGCTCAACTCTCTTTAAATATCTAGATCGAAGGCATTTCACGGGCCCAGTTCACGGCCGTGAACATTGGCTGGGGATCGTGGTCTTTAGCAAAGGTGCACCATTTCACTAAGGCACTTCATGGTCCAAGGCGAATGTTCACGGTCCTATGACTGTGAACCAGTCGAGGTCCAGTGAGGTGTGCAAAACCCTGTTGGAACTATTGCGTATCACGGTCGGGGCTCAATCTTCACGGTCTTGGAGGTCGTGAACTGATGGCTACCAACGTGATCAGCCTTTGTTCTCTCCTTTTGGCCTGTTTTTGCTCCTTTGCATCCAAATTTCATTCTCGGGGTTGATTTACCTGCTAGGATCTTAAATATAGGGAAAAAAGTACGACCTAGCGTAAAACCAAACCCTATTGGGTGAAATTGCCTCAAACATCTAAGAAAAAAGGATGTAAAATGTGTGCATTTTGACCCGAATCACTCCCCCACACTTAGACATTTGCTTGTTCCCAAGCAAACCAATTCCAAACAAGGTAATATCTCAACCTATGGGGACATATCAAAGGGCTCAAAGTGGGTAAATCTCAATGGCTATTGAACCTCAACACATGAATCGTCACAAGCAATACAGGTATCCACCACAAACGACATTTGAATGCTTTAAGAACGTGCAAACAAAAAGTTCTCACCCTGTTCATAAATCAAAACAAGTCTCGACCGGGCTACTCATCAACCACGACTAACCATCCAAAGAACTCAAGTCCAAGGAACAACCAAATTTGCAACATAGGTCCTCACTAGGATAAGATATGAACATGCAAAATGAGGATGAATCACTCACTCCCGACCAGTGGGGTCAGGACCTTTTGGTGCAAAATATGTGCACAATCATCAACACTCAACCCCATCGTCTCTCCATCACGGCGACAACCATACTAGAGTTCACGGGATAGTTGTCGTCATTAGCTTGTCCGGAGGTCTTAGACACTGGCTCAAATGATTGGCAATTGTCTTGGACATGTGGAAAAGGCCTTTTTGGGTGGTGGCAAGCAAAGCATGAGGTTCTACATCTCCAACCTAATACACAAGGTTCTATGGTTTTAACTAGAATATTCCCTACGAACAAAGGACCCTAGCATCGGCCAAAAACCACACTACCCTTCTTCCAAACCACTACCAATCGCGAACTACATTCAAGCACACTTCTTCGGCCTATCTTGCTATCCACAATTCAATCATAGTAGTGAGGAAGGTCAACAAACAATTAGGCATTTCAATGGCTTGAGTGCCAAAAAACCCTTTCTAGAGCATACACATCATTTCCTCATGGCAATTCTTTATCTTTATTTACCCCATTTATTACCTCTTTTTTTATTATTTTTTTTCCTACTTTCCTTTTCCATTTCTTTTCTTTCTCTTTCTAGGTCAAAGCAAGAAATACTGGAATTTGATCAGGATTCATGCAATTCAGAAAATCATGCCTCAATTGAATATAATCGATGTCAAAGAACATGTACTTGGGTTCATAAAACCAAACATAACATACAAATCTAGGGTTCTTTATACCCAGGTGAGGGAGAGAGTATACTCCATAGAGAGAGAAGAGAAATCAGCTTCCGATGCAAAAATCATTCTGTGAAGGATGAAAATCGGCTTCTGGTTATCAATCGACACTTCTCCAAGCTTCAATTGAACTACAATGATGTTGAATCTCGATCTAGGTCACTTGGAGGCTTTGTTCGTCACTTTCTCTCTCTAGGTTTTCGCTTTCTTTCTCCAAAAACTTGGGTCTCCCTCTCAAAAACCCGAAAATGGGTTAAGATCCAACTATCCACGATTGCACGGTAAGGTCGCACGACCGTGCAACATCCTTCGCCGCCCGTGCAACCAAAATGCCGAGTTTGAATTAGTTCCGCGAGGGGATTGCATGGCACTTGCAATCCGAGGGCCTGACCGTGCAACTTCTCGCATAATTCATCACGACCAAAAAACATCATGCACGATCGTCAAATCCTGGCCGCGCATATTCTCTTGCACGGCCACCATGCACGATCGTGCATCTTCCCGGACTGGCCGTGCAACTCGTCTACTCTCCATCCTGGAGGCATTCGCGTCTGCGGGTGCCCTTGCTACTAACCCTTTTGAGGAGTGTTGCTTGGTAAGAACTGACGCCCTAAACTCCCTGGAGGATGATATCCAACCGATGCAAGGCCAAGAAGTGGAGGCATTGCCCTCCATGCCGAAAATCCCTACCTCTCTGGAGGAAACCCCCGAGTTGGAACTAAAACCGTTACCTCCCCACCTCGAGTATGCCTTTTTTAGGTATGATGGGAAGCTTACAGTCATCATCAATGCCAATCTCACGCCTGAGCAGAAGGTGGAATTGATTGAGGTCTTAAGGCGTCACGAGAGGGCAATAGCATGGAAGATCACAGATATTCGGGGAATTGGGCCAAACTTTTGTTCTCACAAGATCCATCTGGAGGAGGGGGCCAAACCGGTTTGGCAACCGCAGAGGCGAGTGAATCCTAATCTAGAAGAAGTAGTGAAGGCAAAAGTGATCAAGCAGCTGGATGCCAGGATTATCTACCCTATCTCGGATAGCCAGTGGGTTAGCGCAACCCAGTTGGTCCCTAAGAAGGGAGGAATGATGGTGGTAGCCAATGAAAAGGAAGAGCTTATACCGACAAGAACGGTGACGGGGTGGAGGGTGTGCATTGACTATCGAAGATTGAACGAAGCCACTCGAAAGGACCACTTCCCTTTGCCTTTCATTGATCAAATCCTGGAGAGACTCGCTGGGCAGGGTTACTACTGCTTCTTGGATGGGATGTCAGGATACTTCCAGATCCCCATTGCCCCAGAAGATCAAGCCAAGACGACAT